AAAAAATACATTTATACTGTCTTTTATATTTATCTATGTAAGTAGTTACCTTTACCTGTGCTCTTAATTTATTTGTCTGAATTTGAGTTACTATCAAATGTCCTTTTATTTCATTTCGAAGAATTCCCTTTAATATTATTCGAATGCAAGTCTACTAATGACACAGTCTCTTCATTTATGTTTATCTGGAAATGTCTTAATTTATACTTCAGTTTTGCTAGTTATAGAATTTGGGCTTGACAGTTTTTTCCTTCAGTATTTGAATGTCTTCCTACTGCCTCATTACCTCCAATGTTTCTAATGAGAAGTTAGCTGTTCATCTTTTCAGGATGCTTTGTATATGATAAGTAACTTTTTTCTTTCTTTCTTCAAGATTCTCTCTTCATCACTGGTTTTTGATAGTTTGACTTTTATGTGTCTAGGTCTAGATCCCTTTGATTTATCTCGCTTGGGTTTTTTTGAGCTTCTTTGACATGCAGATTATTTTTTTTCATCAAATGTTTGAACTTTCATCCATTATTTCTTCCCATATTCTTCCTGCCCTGCTCTTCCTCTTGTCTTCTTTTAAGTCTCTCATCATATATGTTACTGTGCTTGATGGTTTCTTAAAAGTCTCTGAGACTCTGTTCTTCATCCTTATTTCTCTTCTTTAGTCTGAATAATTTCAAATATCTTGCCTTAAATTTCATTGATTATTTCTTCTGCTAGTTCAAATCTGTTGTTGAGTCCCTAGTGAATTTTTAATTTGTTAATACATTCTTCAGCTCCAGAACACTTGGTTTTTTAATATAATTTCTATACTTTATTGATATTGTCTATTTCGTGAGGCATTATTCATATACTTACTTCCTTTAGTTCTTCAGACCCATTTTCCATTAGTTGTTTGAACATATTTACAATAGTTGACTTATCACCTTTGTCTAATAAGTTGAACATTTGGGTTTCCTCAGGCATTTTCTGTTGACTGCATTTTTCCTATGTATTGGCCATGCTTTCCTAATTATTTGGGTGTCTTATAATTGCTTTTGTTGAAAACTAGGCATTTTAGATTATATAATTTGGCAACTATGGAAATAAGCTCACTCTAGTATTTATTATTTTTTATTTTTGTTTTGTTTATTGACTTTCTAGAGTAATTCTGTAAAGATTGTTTTCTTTATTGTGCATAGCCAATAAAGTCTGTACTCAGTTAATTTAGTGTTCAGCTAATGATAGGACAGAGGTTCTCTTAAATTCCTTGAACCAATAAATCTCATGGCCTATGTCAAGAACCTCTGTGTAAGTATGTTGGACATGTCTTTAGTGTTCTGTCAGATAGTTTGTAACCCTTTCCAGCCTTCAATCACTCTTTGTAAAGAGCCTCACAATCAGCCAGAGGTCAGATATTAGAGCTTTCTTAAGTCTTTCCTGAGTATATACACTGTTCTGGAGATGCGTGTGGTAATCTAGGTTCCTAGGAATATGTCAAAGCTTTTTAAATACCATATGAATATCTCATTCTCAAGTTGTTTATTTTTCTTATTTATTTATGATTAGCCTCTTTTTAGCCTTAAATGATAATGCCACCTCACCTTACTGTGATGTTTAATAATTGTTGCTGAAATATTATGTATATATATATATGCTGATATATATATGCGTGTGTATGTGTATGTGTGTCTGTGTGTGTGAACATATATATTTTTTTGACTAAACCCTAAGAAGAAGGTTGTTCACACATATGAGCTCTGAATCACGTCATATAAAGACATGCCCTCATAATAGCCTTTTCAGCTAGCTGCCAGACAGAACAAATAGGTACAATTTTCTTGGGATAAGGGTTTTGGAGAATTTCAAACCCATGTTTTTCTCTCTCCATTGGCTGCTAGGCTAATGATTTTCACAGCTAGAACAGTGACAAGACTGTTGTTTTTCAGGGAAACCACAAAGCTGGATTTAGGAGAATGGGATTATAGCAAGTAAAAATGCCAAAAAGCCTTCTGTTCTTTCATAGATTCAGATATTTTTCCTTAAATAAACACTCCCTGGGTTTTTTTTTATAGAAGCAGATTTATTTTGGATGTTTAGCCATAATTCATTTTTCCTAAGCAAAAAAGGAAGGCAATATTGATCCAGATTAAAATTTGGGCCCTCCTGATTTTATTACTTATATCACTGAGACAGATATATCACTGTTCTTTTCTTCAATAGTTACGTCTAATTTGTTACAAAAATATTATTCCCCTAAATTACTTACCTAAGAACAATAAAGTTAGGGCATTAAAAATTTATCAAGTCTTTTTTTGAATGATATTTTAAACCTGTATTATCAAAGAGCTTTTAAAAAGTCAGTTTAGTTGACTTTACACTTAACTTTTGATATCAAAAGCAGAATTGCCATTCTTAGGTAAACAGAATAGATTTCTATAATCAGAGATTGGTATTTAAGGTTCAGAATAATCTTCAACAGTATAATTCTTACTGGTTGATTAAGCTTCTGCTTACATCCTTAGATTTCAGGCTAATGCTCATATTTGAGCCATGAGCCTAACCTTCTTCCTTCAGAGATTTTTTACAGTTTAGCATGGAATATCATTAAAAAAATTTCCTTTTCTTTCAACTAAGACAGTTCTTATTACCCTTGTAGTAAAATCTATATAATTCTATTCATCTAGTCTTTAGATGAGCAAATTAGCAGTTTAATTCTAGAAATCTGAATCAATATAAAGTTCCCAGATGGCATGAGACATGTGATCTTTATCAAATTCTTCATTTAATGGATTTTCTTTTTGCTGCCATCAGGCACTGTGATTGTGGAGCCTTTGACTTATTGGCTACTTGAGGGTAATCAATGACCCAGTAACTTGATGCATTGGAGAGGTGCTCAATTTGCAGAAAACATGAACGCACTTTTCCCAAGAGACCCATTAATATTTTCTGTTTCTGGAATTAGAGGAAAGTATAGAAACTCTATGTTTTTCATTATAAACGCAGCCATCCAAACCGAGATCCCAGGTTGCATAGATCTGTATAGTAGTAGAGTAATGAGTTCTGCCCTCCTCTGCTTGTAGTCCTGGGAAAGAACTCCTTTCTTGAAAAAAAAAAAACACTTTTGGAAACCTTAATGAATTAAAAATCACACTTCATATTTTCAGCATATATGGGAAAAATTCACCAAAGAGGTTTTCAACTTTTATATTCTCTATTTGATAATGTTATGCATGTTTTATTTGTATTAACATTTTTTTTTATTTCAGCATATTATGGGGGTATGAATATTTAGGTTACATATATTGCCTTTGCCCCCTCCAAGGCAGAACTTCAAGCATGTCCATCCCCCAGACAGTGCGCACCGCATCCATTAGGTGTAAAT